GTTAGTTAGAGTATTTAATTGTGGACGAGAAATGTAAATATCAGCGGCATACATCAGTGCAGTTCATATGGTATAGCGAACTGAAGGATTGATCTCTAAGAAAGATAAGACCAATATACCAGTAGCATGATTCGCTTACCCGCATTGTTAACGTAACTGTATTACGCTTCTGCTCACGTTTTCTAAAACATCTGGCCTGTGTATTCATCTCACGACTTATAAGCTAACCCTTCCCCCACAAATGACTCGATAGTGAACGATCGTGGGACATTAAGGAACAAATCCGTCGCACCCATTTCCTGATATTATCGTGATCCATGCGATTATACGCAACTGCTCATGTGTCCTGCGCCTTATTGTCCTGTTTATTCTTCACAGGACCGGCTAGAGGGCCAAACCGAGGGCCAAATACTGGGCCTCCATCACGGCACGGGGTTATGGATCCTAGAGATCCCCGACAACGGCACATGGCACAGCAGCCACCCATGCAGCAGCAGCAGTCTATACCATCACAACAACAACAACAACAACAACAACAACAACAACAACAACAACAACAACAGCAACAACAGCAGCAACAACAGCAACAGCAACAACAACAACAACAACAACAGCAACAGCAACCACCCATGCAGTCGTACGGACAACAGGGATATAGCAGCGGACCACCTTCGAGTCAAGCACCACCACCCCAACAGCCACAGCAGCAAGCGTCGGCTACGGATGGTGTGTGCTGTGAGCTTGTTCGGGTGTATTGGTATATGGTGTACCTGTGGGTTCGATGTTCGTGACTGTTGTATGTTTAAGCGTGCGGTCTTGAGTGTTGAATAGAGGCAATGACAAGATAGCCCACTATATCGGCGAAGTATAGATATCCATCACTCATCTTTGAGTGCTCGACCACACAGGCTTATCCGAAGAGGAGAAACGGCAGTACTTCAGCATGGTACTGAATCTCAAACAGCAGGACATAGACAAGCTGCCGCCTGACCAGCGTGAAAGCATGATGCTGCTGGTATGTGAAATTGTAATGAGCAAGGATACCTAGTAGATACCACGTGCTATTTACATGCGCAAGTGCTATTTACATGCGCAAGTGCTATTTATATTGCTCCATGTATGGGTAGTGTTCACGTTTGCACTAGTGCGAGAGCATGATGCTGCTGGTATGTGAAATTGTAATGAGCAAGGATACCTAGTAGATACCACGTGCTATTTACATGCGCAAGTGCTATTTATAGATTGCTCCATTTATGGGTAGTGTTCACGTTTGCACTAGTGCGAGAGCATGATGCTGCTGGTATGTGAAAGTGTACTGTGCAAGGATACCTAGTAGATACCACGTGCTATTTACATGGGCAAGTGCTATTTATAGATTGCTCCATGTATGGGTAGTGTTCACGTTTGCACTAGACCTGGACTAGTGCGAGAGCATGGTGCTGCTGGTGAGTGGAAGTGTACTATTCATGGATACACATTTGTACTGGGGACGCTCTACCTTTGTCAGGTCAAGCGTGGCATTGGACATGCGTCGTTGTTTATTCAATAGTTGTATTGTTTATAGTTGTATTGTTTATAGTTGTATTGTTTGTAGTTGTATTGTTTATAGTTGTATTGTTTATAGTTGTATTGTTTATAGTTGTATTGTTTATAGTTGTATTGTTTGTTCAATAGTTGTATTGTTTATAGTTGTATTGTTTGTTCAATAGTTGTATTGTTTATAGTTGTATTGTTTGTTCAAAAGTTGTATTGTTTATAGTTGTATTGTTTGTTCAAAAGTTGTATTGTTTATAGTTGTATTGTTTGTTCAATAGTTGTATTGTTTATAGTTGTATTGTTTGTTCAATAGTTGTATTGTTTATAGTTGAATTGTTTTCTCAATAGTTGTATTATTTACTTTAATTCTTGTATTGTTTATTCAATGGTTGTACTATTTAGTTAATTTTTGTATTATCTATTCCATAGTTGTACTGTTTAAACATTAGTTGTATTATTTATTCAATAATTCTATGCCTCCTTGTTTGTGCACTACAGCGTGAGCAAGCCTTGCAGAGTGGCATGTTCTGAAGAGTGGTCTACTGGCGTTTAGGGATAGATGATCTGACAACGCGCACATCGACTCTCCTATGCTGAGTACCCGTGGCGTGGCACGTCGGTTAACTTAGAGAATATTAGATATATAATGACTCGTCCTGACCTACAAATAAAGGAAGGACTTATTTGCACCCAAAAAAATAATTAGGGCTTGAAGAGGTCAAGAGGGCGGACGTTTTTCATATTATCTCACATGGCTTATGAACGAGTATATGCTGGAGAAGGTATTGGCGAGTGTATGTATGTGAAAACCTGCTCAGCGATGTATCACTTCGACATATGAAAGGCACTCGCTTGCGAGTTGATCATCAGACTTGCAACGGAGTGCTTGTTATGACCATGCATTGGGTGTATTGGGAATATAGCATCCCGGAATACAAGGGTGCTAGTGATGGCGATAGAATGGTTGTATGATACACACACACACATACATACACACACACACACCACACACACACACACACACATATATA